AGACCCACACACATCCACCTCTGGTGTCAGAGCAGAACCAGTCAGGGTAGAGGAGAGAGCAGAAGCTTCTCTGTGGGAGCTTTTCTTAGGAGGTTTTCTGGAACTTTTTGGAGCCTGTTTAAAGTTTTCTTTATATCGTTGAACAAGTCTCTGTGTTGTCAGTCCCCGACACCCTCCGCACGTGTTCTCAGACACAGGCCGCGCAGCAGACGTGACAATTGGAGGTCCCACCGAGATCGTGAAAGCGAGGTAAGTGGACGGGGTTAAGAAACTATGGGGAATAGTTCCGGGAAGCTAGAATCATTACAGTATCAACTAAAAAAGTTACTTAAAGAACATGGGACTGCAGTCAAGTCTAAAACCCTAGAAGGCTTTCTAAAATCCATCGAACGAGCCAGTCCATGGTTCATTACTGGGGGAAGCTTAAATATTCCAGATTGGGAGGAGGTTCGCCGTGATCTTCATAGACTTTTACGAAAAGAGGGATCTGAGTCCTTGCCCCCTACGACATTCTACTTATGGAGATTAGTGAGGGGAGCACTTTTGACAGATAAGGTTCGTCACCGCCAGGTAGTTCAGGACACAAAAGAGGCTTTTTTAGAGTTACAAGAGACTGAGACTCAAGCCTCCTTGAGTTCAGGGAAAGAGAGTGAGGAAGAGACTGTGACTGAAACTAGAGGCTCCATTGTTAGTGAGGATGAGGGGGAGTCTCTTAGTAACAACAAAAAATGGGTAGAGGTCTCCGGGCAAAACGCAAAAAGGGCTCCAGTCAGAATCGGTTATATCCTTCTCTATCAGATCTAGAAAATGGAAGTAGCTCAGACTCAGACTCGTCACAGTCTGAAAAGGAATGGTTACTTGCTGAGATCGCGGCCCTTAAAAAAGAACTAAAAAAGATTCGAATTAAGGAAAGACAGGACAGGGAGAGAAACCCTTCCCCATACTCTGAAAAAAGGGATTCCTCCTATGAGATAACCCAGTCCTTCTTGGACCTGGAGGGAAGACCCAGAGGAGGGGTCCAATGCTGCCCGGTGGTGGCCCCAGTAATGGAAGTTCCAGATCCGAACAGTTCTGGACAGGTCATTCGGCGTCATAACCCTTTAAATTTTAAGGATATAAAACAACTTAAAGAGGCAACTTTAAATTATGGAGCACAGACTCCCTTTACACTTTCCTTAATGGAATCTTTTGCATCTCTTAATTTGACACCTGGCGATTGGCAGCAGCTTTGCAGAGCAGCTCTGTTGGGGGGAGATTATTTGATTTGGAGAGGTGAGTTTCAGGAAAGATGCAGCCAGACAGCCCAAAGGAATGCACAGGCCGGACAGCCCCAGAGAAATGTGGAGATGCTTACCGGGAGTGGTCAATACGCCACCATTCAGCAACAAATGCAATATGACATCGCAGTCTGTGCCCAAGTGGCAGCAGCGGCCCAAGGGGCTTGGAAAGAATTGCCTTCCAAGGAAGGAGGGGATCATCTGTCCAAAGTCCTTCAAGGACCTTCCGAACCTTTTCAAGACTTCGTAGACCGTCTCAGTCAGGTTGCAGAAAAAATATTTGGGGGCATTGGGCCTGCGATGCCAGTCATAATGCAGATGGCATTTGAAAATGCAAATAAATATCGTAAGGAAGCCCTTCGCCCCTATCACAATAAAAGTCTAAATGACTATATCCAGATCTGTAGGGACATTGATGGGAATTTCATCCAGGGCCAAGTGTTAGCTGCTGCTATTCGGCCCCAAGTGGGGAAAGAAAGACCTACTCTGGGAGGGATAAAAACATGTTTCAGCTGTGAGAGAGGGGTACTTCCATAGAGAGCGCCCTCAAAATAGTACTACGGGTCTCAAGAGACCTAGTTTATGCCCCCGTTGTCGAAGGGGATATCATTGGGCCAATAACTGCTACTCTAAAACTGACTGGGAGGGAAATTTCCTTCCTGCTAATAATAATCAGGGAAACGGGAGGAGGGCCCCGCCCCAAGGCCCCAAAACCAATGTGTACGGGGCAATGACCCCTGCTCTGGGCAGTCGCAGGACTCATTTTCTCCCCCAGAGCAACCCCTTCATATCTCAGACCTCCTTAGAGCCACCTCAGGGAGTGCAGGATTGGACCTCGCTCCCTCCGCCCGGGCAATCCTAACACCGGAAATGGGGATCCAGGCCCTCCCTACTGGGGTGCATGGGCCATTGCCCCCAGGCATGGTCGGACTACTCTTGGGATGGTCCAGTACTATTCTTCGAGGCATCCAGGTACACCCCGGTGTTATAGACCAGGATAGTGAGGGGGAGATTAAAATAATGACATCAGTGGGCAGTGGGGTTGTTGCCATCCCTGCAGGAGACCGGATTGCTCAGATACTCCTCCTCCCTACAGCTCCTTGTGAGGCTAGAAAAATTAAAGAGAAAAGGGGCAACCAAGGTTTTGGAAGTACTGGCCCGGCAGCATTTTGGGTAGCCACTATGGAGAACTGCCCCCAGCTTACATTAAAGATAGAAGGCAAGTCCTTTAGGGGCGTCTTAGATTCTGGGGCAGATTTTTCTGTCCTCTCAGATAAAATCTGGCCCCCCGCCTGGCCGAAAGAAGAAGGGACAGTGACCCTCCAGGGAATAGGACAGGCTGTGCCCCAAAAAAGCCTCAGAATCCTAAAGTGGCAAGACTCTGAGGGACACACAGGGCTTTTCCAGCCATATGTTTTGCCTGGCCTCCCTATTAACCTCTGGGGACGGGACCTCATGCAAGAAATGGGAGTGGTCCTCACCACCCAGGCACCCAAGTCCAAAAGCAGGAGCCCCCAGATGACACAAGGGAGGGGCTGGAGCCCGGGGAGGGAACTAGGTAAACTAGAACAGGGAGAGGTTTGCCCTGTGGCATCCCTCCCTTTGGAGACCAGGGCCCCAGGGGATAGGAAGGGTTTTGATCATTTTTGATGAGAGTCACTGTTGCGCCGCCAGCCCCCATACCCATCACATGGCTATTAGATGATCTGGTATGGGTGGAACAGTGGCCCTTACCAGTGGAGAAACTAAGGGCGGCTCACCAGCTAGTTCAAGAACAATTGGAGGCAGGTCATTTGGTTCCTTCCACGTCCCCTTGGAATACCCCTATATTTGTAATAAAAAAATCTTCAGGGAAATGGAGGTTACTACAAGACTTGAGGGCCGTGAATGCGACTATGCAGCCTATGGGGGCTCTGCAGCCTGGCTTGCCGGTGCCTGTGGCCATTCCTAGAGACTGGCATTTGATTGTCATTGACTTGAAGGATTGCTTCTTTTCTATTCCCTTGCATTCTCAAGATAGTCCTCGGTTTGCATTTAGCCTTCCTTCGATTAACTTTAGGGAGCCTGCCCTTCGCTTCCAATGGGTGGTGCTCTCCCAAGGGATGGCTAATAGTCCAACTATATGCCAGATTTATGTAGCTGCCTGTTTAGATCCCCTCAGACGTAAGTTCTCTGATTTTTACGTTATCCACTACATGGATGATATTCTTTTGGCTGCGGCCGAAGAAAGACAATGTTACATAGCCTTTGCAGAGCTACAGGAACTTCTGGAGGCCCGCGGATTTATTTTGGCTCCTGAAAAGATCCAAAAGAGACCCCCTTATACTTATTTGAGTCATCAAATTCAACAAACTGGCCTCCGGCCACAAAGACTCCAGATCGATTGTTCAAATTTAAAAACACTTCATGATTGGCAGAGATTTTTGGGAGAGGTGGCCTCCGGCCACAAAGACTCCAGATCGATTGTTCAAATTTAAAAACACTTCATGATTGGCAGAGATTTTTGGGAGAGGTGCAATGGTTTCACCCTTCTCTTTCTATTAAAACAGGGGCTCTTAAAGTGCTTTATGATATTCTTCCTGGGGATCCTGCTCCAACTTCCCCTAGACAGATTACCCCAGAGGCCAGGGAAGCCCTACAATTGTTGTTAAGAAGTATAGAGCAAGCCCACCTTCGGCGTATAGATTATGGGCAGCCCCTTGTTCTGGTTGTACTTTCATCTAGCTTTTCGCCCACTGCCGTGTTTTGGCAGACTGGTCCT